CTAACCAAAAGAGATACACATATACACTCACACACACATATGCACCACCCTGCCTAACCAAAAGAGATACACACACACACACACACACATAAATACACACACACACATATATATTTTTTTGGTACCAGGGATTGAACCTGGGGGTGCTTAACCACTAAGCCATATGCTGAGCCATTTTTTATTTTGAGACAGGGTCTCACTAAGTTGCTTAGGGCCTTGCTAAGTTGCTGAGGCTGGCTTTGAACTTGTGTTCCATCTGCCTCAGCTTCTCAAGTCACAGGGACTACAGGTGTGTGCCACCGCACAGGGACAGCCAAAAGACATTCTGAAGTGATTCAAAGACAAAGCTATAGAATGCAAACTGTGTATCTGATAAAGGCCTAGTATTTAAAATATGGTCAAAACTCAATTATAAGAGAGCAACATAAAAAAGTGGACAAAAATTGTGAACAGATACTTCTCCTGAGAGGTAAATAAAGTGGAAAGAACCTCAAATGAAAAGATGTTCAATATATGGGGCTGGGGTTGTGGCTCAGTGATACACTGCTCTCCCAGCATGTGTGAGGGACTAGGTTGATCCTCAGTACCATATAAAAATGAATAAATAAAATAAAAATATTGTGACCATTTATATCTAAAAAACTATTTTAAAAATTTTTTAAAAAGATGCTCAATATCATTAGTCACTGGTCAATGCAATTAAAAAGTACAATGAGGGGGCTGGGGGAATAACTTAGGGGAAGAGCACTTGCCAAGCATGCGCCTAAGCCCTGGATTTGATCCTCAGCCCCAAACCAAGCAAATGCCATCAAAACAAACAAACAAATCAACCAACCTTGAAAAATGAAAAACTCACAACACAACATACCACTGTACACCATACTACTAGTGGAAATGTAAAATGGTACTAACATTTTAGAAAAAAACAAAAACGAAACAAAAGAAACAGTCTGGCACTTTCTTCCTTCCTTTCTTCTTTTTTTGGTACTAGGATTGCCTAGCCCTTTTTATTTTTGAGACAGAGTTTTGCTAAGTTACCTAGGGCTTTGCTAAGGTGCTGAGGCTGGCTTTGAATTTCCAATCCTCCTGCTTCAGCCTCTTGAGTTTCTGGGATTGCAGCTGTGCATCATTATGCCTAGCTTGGCAGCTCTTTAAGACCATAAACAGACATCAATCATATAATCTAGCTATTCCACTTGTAGTTATTTACCCAAGAAAATGCAAGTATACCTTCATTCAAAGACTTGACCATGAATGCTTATATCAGGTTTATTGGCTATAATGACCCAAATGTCCAGGAATAAATACAAAATAAATAAACTGGTATATCCACACAATAGAAGGTTGTTCAGCAATGGAAAGCAATGACCTATGGATGAATCTTATTACCTACAGTGAAAGAAGACAGGTTAAAAAAAAAGTCCATGCATACTATATGATTCCTTTTATATAATACTCTAGGAAATAACAAATTAATCTATAGGAAAACTAATCAGCAGTTGCTTGGGAACTAGGATGAAGAAAGTTGCGGGAGAAGGATTCTGAGGGACACTTGGTAGTGGAAATCTATGTATTTCTTATATTCACTTTAATGACAAGTTATATTGTATACTTCAAATATGTGCAGTTTAGTGTATGTCAAATTATACTTCAATCAAGGTGCTAAAAAAGAATGTTTTCTTTTTATTTCCCATTTGAGTATTACTTAGTGTTTTCATTTCTCAGAGAACCCTAATAGCAAATAAATCAGTGGTAATTCTAGCATTAGTTATGGGTTTTATCTTTGTATTAGTCTCAAAAACTCTAAGATGGCTTAAATATTTAACTTTAAATATTTAACCAAAGCATATAGATCCTGAGAATTTTCCTTCTCTATTTTTTTTTATTATCTACCATGAAAAATCTATGATAATAAATGACCCAATACCATCATCTTTCGGCTAGTTTATGTAATTTTTTTTAATTTAAGCAATATAATTTTTTTTTTTTGGTGAGCCAGGAAAAAGAGTAAAATTCATGGAATATTCCAAATTAAACATTTTTGTTTTCAACATTAAGGGAAACATACATACTTCAGTCAGTACAGTAACCAATTCTCCAAATGTATAATAAAAAAATTTCAAAATTACACAAAAACACAGAAATAAATAATGAACCTATATGTGAAAGTCAGCCAGCTTCAAACATTAGCAACATTTTGTGATTTTTAAAAAATTTTAGTCTCTTTTTCTCATGGAATATTTTACGGTATCATACCATTCTACATCATTAATATTTAAATATTTAATCCTTTCTTTCAAAAAGTCACAGATTATTTTGAAATCGCTCATACAAACTGAGCATAGTGGTACATGCCTGTAATTCCAGCTACTCTGAGGGTGAGCTGGAGGATGACAAGTTTGAGGTCAGTCTGGACAATTTAGCAAGACCCTGTCTCAAAATTAAAAAAAGGGCTGGTGACTTGGCTCAGTGGTACATTGCCCCTGGGTTCAATCTCTATTCTGGAAAAACAAACAAAAAAAAGAGTTGCTTAATAAAAAGTTAATTGTACTTCATTACAAGAACACTTAATTTCTTGCATTTTTCTCCAGCAATTTATACACAAGTATATGCATGTTTAGAAATTCTCATTTTAATTTACTGTAGTATTTTAATATTTTATTTTGTAAAAGTAGGTTATATATGTAATATATAATACTTTTTCTAAAATTATTTTTTAGAAATATTTATTTTTTAGTTTTAGGTGGACACAATGTCTTTATTTTATTTTTATGTGGTGCTGAGAATTGAACCCAGTGCCTCACACATGCTAGGCAAGCATGCTACCACTTGAGCCACATCCCCAGCCCTCTAAAAGTATTTTGATAAATTATCTATATTAGTAAAACAAGGTTCATTCCTCTGTGTCTTTTTCATTTTTTCTTTTCTTTTTTAAGTACTGGGGATTGAACCTCAGGGCACTCTTACTACTGAGCTATATTCATAGTCCTTTTGTTTTTAGAGACAAGGTCTCACTAAATTGCCCAGGCTGGCCTTAAACTTGTGATCTTCTTGCCTCAGCCTCTGAGTAGCCAGTATTACATCTATTTCTTTGTTTATTCATTTATTTATCCTTTCCTGCTTCTATCCACTGATGTGCTGGAGTTGGGCTGTAGCATCATATAAAAGATAACTAGTAAATTTTTAGGACTTTTATGAGCTGGTTGTTAAATTCAACCATAATTAAAAATTAAGCAGTTTAAATTTGTAATAGAATCAATTTTATTAAAAACAAAGGAAACAAGTACTCAAAACTCATCAATTTTTAATTCCCCCCCCCCCTCATACTGGGGATTGACCACAGGGGTGCTTTACCACTGAACTATATCAATTCTTTTTACTTTGAGATAGGGCCTTGCTAAATTGCTGGGGCCAGCCTTGAATTTGTGATTTCCTACCTCAGCCTCCATGTTGCTGGGATTACAGTTGTATGCCACCACTCTAGACTACATTTTAAATTATTTTAATATCATATATGCTTGAGTTTACATATATTTGTTTTAGCTACATGGTGCAAACATTATGCAAAGGGGTGCTGCTGAGAATTTTTGCTCTTATCTGTGTTAAGAAACATTATGTTGGCATTTTATAGCTAGTTATATGCCACAGAGATGAACATATGCTACAAATGACAGTCCTCCCTCACACCCCTCTTGGGGAAGCTGGTTGTTAGCATTTATCAGCACACTACTGCATCCACTCTGATTATTAATTCTTTGCCAGGCACTGGAGCAATATGAAATATTTCTATTTTGTTTTTGAAATTTTAGGACAGAGATTCTCTTAATGTTATAGTATTAAATGTACTTTAATAGAAGATACTATAAAGAAAATATGAACATGTCCTTAAGAAAATAAAAGAATATGCCTGTAATCCCAGCAACTTGTGAGGTGGAGGCAGGAGGATCCCAAGTTCAAAGCAAGCCTGCAGTAACTCAGTGAAGTCCTAAGCAACACAGTGAGACCTTGTCTCAAAATTAAAAATTAAAAAAAAAAAGAAAAAAAAAAAAAAAGAGCTGGGGCTGGGCGTAGTGGTGCACGCCTGTAATCATAGCAGCTTGGGAGGCTGAGGCAGGAGGATTAGGAGTTCAAAGTCAGCCTCAGCAATTTAAAGAGGCTGGAGGCTGGAGCAACTCAGCAAAATCCTGTCTCTAAACAAAATATAAAAAAGGGCTAGGGATGTGGCTCAGTGTATAACGCTCCTAGGTTCAATCCCTACTACAAAAATAAATAAATAAAAGAATCAAACAAAGACTACATAGTATATATTAGTAGAATTTAATGTTTTTTTAAAAAATCCCCTATAATATAAATAAATAAAGCTCTTAAAAGAGTTTTAAAATATTACCCTAAAAAACTGGGTTAGTTGAGATCAGAAATAAAAGGAACACTTGAAGGTGACAACTTTGGTTTTGTTTTGACTTGAATTTCAAAAGCACAGAAAAAAAAATAATTTGATGTTAACTAAAAATAATAATACATATATTAAAATGATATGTACATTGTATAAATATTCTTTAACAGAATGCTAAAGCAAATGGCAAACATGAATCTGATTTTAAGTGGAAACAAAGTTAAGTGTGTTCAATAACAGATAAATGATTTTTTTTGAACACAGAAATAAAGAGTAAATCTTAAAAATAGTGGAAAACTTAAAATGTCATCAAAATTTGCTAAACTTGTTTTGCCAGTTGAAATTCTCAGAAATCAAAGCTTTTGTCTGTCTAGTCTACATTTATACTTAGTCTGGGCACTTTAATCCCCTTTTTGTTCTTAGTTTTGCCATACACCATAAGTTATTTTATACAGCCTTAACATTCAGTTAGTTTCATAAATTGTGAAATAATTTTGTACTACCAGTTTATTTTCAAATTGCTCAGAAGATTAAACAAAGGAGTTATAAAGAATTAAAATGAACACTGGGTTTCTTTATACATACTTCTTTTGTTTAAGTTATTTACCTCTTGTGAAAGCTGTGTTACTTGGTCCTTTTGATGTCCAAGATCTTTTAAAATCAATGAGTTTTGTTTTTCTAACTGAAGAACTCTTCTTGCCAAGTGGACACTAGGTGAATGAAGTGAGAAAATTAATGCTTGCAACAGTGCAAAAAAAAAATGCTATCTAAAATATTCAAAATGGGTTTGTGAGCTAGAAAACTGATTATTTTTTAATAATATTTAATTATTAACAGAAAACATATGGGATCCAATAATAAATCAATGCAAGACCAAGACCTCAACAACTCAGAATTCTGAAAGTAAATCAAAATCCCCATAACTGTGATATATTGATTACTGCAGTAATGGTTTCTAGCTCTTGCTACAAAAGTGAATTACTTTAAGATACTTGCTTGAAAAGACCACAAGATAGCAATTTACAGCTTTCCCCCATTTTTATAAAAATTTCTCAGTTACAAACAGATCAGAAAATTAGTTGAAATATTATGAACAATAATATGCTGGTACTTTGAAAAGCATCAGTGTTTACCTCAGATAACATAATGCATTTTACAATTGAATAGGTTTTCTATTCAAAGTACGGATGGAAATGATGTATAAAGCTTGGAAAATGTCTATGGTAAAGGTAAGAAATCATCCCTCTGATATCTGCAATATCACAACTTATCATTCCGACTTTCAGTATTTAAAATTACATTAAATATAAAATGTTCTAAATCCACTATTAAGAAACAATCTTAAGGGAGAAAAAAAAAAGCTTCATTCCTTGTAACTACAGGGGGAAACACACATAATTCTTTAAAGAATTAGTACTAATATTAAGATATGTTAATACTAATTAATTAGTACTAATTAGTACAAATTAATATTACTAATATTAGTAATATTAGTACTAATATTAAGACATTGTTCCCACAGACCTCTCTGTATTTCCATATTTACCACATTTTCATGTTCTATGTTAGTGAATTTATTAATCTATGAATTGTAGAATCCATGGAATACAAGACGTTTTACAATGACAAGATATCATTTCTCTAAGTAAAATTATAGGATAAAAACAATTCTATCATATACTTGACATTTCCTCACATCAGACAAAGGAAAGCAGACAAACCTCTTCAAACCACACTAAATATCACTCTGCATATCTATTTTTAAAAATGTGTTCCAAATAATAATGATGAATTCTGATAGAAGTTCATACTTTGTTTAGACCTAAGAAGATACTATCTATCTGTTCAACTGGCATATTTTGCCTTAACCATCAGCTGAAGTTAGAGATGGAAGAGACATATAGTTCCCATTTTTGGCTACCATTCTTTTTTTAAAACTGCTTTATTGATGCATAATTTTATTGCTATGCAACTAATATACAATAAAGCTTACCTATTTAAAATGTATAAATCAATAGTTTTAGTATATGTAGAGTTGTGCAACTATCACTATAATCTAATTTTAGAACATTTTCATTACCCTCCAAAGAAACTTTGTACCTATTAACAGTTAATCTCCCTTCTTCCTCACTAAATGCTTCCTGCTCTCAACCCCACCAGCCTTGGGGAGCCACTAAATTGATGTTTCCTTCTTTCTTTTTTTTTTTTAAGTAGATTTTTAAAGACATTTATAAATGGGTATCCTGTTTTTCATTCCCCAAGTAAATGTACCAAACAAGTTCTAATTTGACTATAAATTAAGAAGACCTCTACAAATAAGTCTTAATGCTAATTTTTTTTATTATATTTACATTTTAAATCTGTTGATTCTAATACATGTTTGCAAGCATCAGTATTTGATATCACTGTTTTTTGTTGGCTTAATTTAAAAACCTTAGAGTTATCTAAATTCAAATTTTCATTGTCTCTATCTTTCTCATCCTTCAAATATGTTAGGTATAAATTCTGTCTTCCACAGAAAATAGCATCCAGGTCTTTTGTTTAGTAATTTTTAACAAACATGTTAAAGGCACAGGCCAAATCTATGCAACATTCAGTATAGAGTAATGAACCCAATCAAATGCAATTACACAGAAATAGTTATGGATAAGATGGAGTTTTATGCAAATAAAAATTTGTCTGTAAAGAAATAAAGGAAATAATGAAATGCAAATGTCACTTGTTATAAGACATCAATTTTATTAATATAAAATTGTTCATTTGATTTAGGTGCTTTTAATCTTGCAATTGCATAATGTTTTTATGAAGATATGGTAATAACACTTACAAATGAAAAATATATCATATAAAATACTGACTTAGGAAATTCTTTGTATGGTAGGTGTAAGCCATCACCAGGAATACCTCCTTCTAATAAAAATTTCCCTGATTTTGGTTAGGGGAATCTTAAATGAGGAAAATCAATTCAAAGGAAGAAAGGTATCTTGTGATATCTTGAAGTTAGTTATAAACATGCTCTACGTGTTTTTTGTTTGTTTGTTTTTAGTATTCTATAGTACAATTTCAATGAGAAAAAATTTCTAGGAACTGATGCTAACAGGAAAGACTGTGACTATTATTTTAACATTGATGTCATTTATGAACATGGTTATCATGTGGAATGCACTGTGGTACCACTGGTCTCCAATATAAATGGACTATGTTTTAAAATTTACTTCTAAGTCACTTGTAAGAATAATAGAATATATTTCCTTGTGGATATATCAGAAATGGTATTAAGACCCATTCAGCCTATTAATGTGGCATGTCCCCTGAAGAGAAAAAGGAATAAAAATAGCAAAATCTTTCATTAAAATATTAGGAATTATTATAGTAAGACTACTAAGAATATGATTATATTAGATTTCATTAAAATATATGTAAGCACAACCAATTTAAATATAACTAATGTTATTTTTTTCCTGCTAATTTCTTTAAATTTTCTGAGTATGTAAATAAAAAATGATAACATTGTTTTATGGGTTTCTAACAGTGTTGCAATACATTTGGAAACCATAAAAAAAAAAGCAGAGAGATGGTAAAAGCAGCTGTATGGTCAGCTGTATGGTCACAAGGTTTCTATACTTTACACAAAGTAGTACAATATTAACTCTGGACTACGAAAAGCTAAAGATACATAGCGTATGTATGTATGTACCTACATATTTTTGCAGTACCGGGGATCAAACCCGGGAGGTGCTCTACCACTGAATTTTATCTCAAGTCCCTGTTTCTTTTTTCTTTTAAGAGAAGGAGAAGATCTTGCTTAAGTTTCCCAGGCTGGCCTTGAACTTGTGATTCTCCTGCCTCTGCCTTCTGAATTGCTGGGATTATAGGTGTGCACCACTGTGTCTGGCAGTAACTAATTACCGAGTAAATTAACTTTATAAAACTTTCTTTTTCTTCATACTCTAACCTATACTGGGTATTCATCATCTTAAAAGTTTTGCCAATCTTATGAATAAATAGGATAACCCCATTTTAAATTAATTTTCCTTATATACATTGGAATATTTCTTGATATTCTTTTATGTGTGTTAATATTTTCATCTTCTCATGTTTATTGGTCATTTATATTTTTTACTCAATGAATTGATATTTACATTCTTTTCCCATTCTAAATTTTACTTACATGGTTGATTCTAAACTATATCTAAATTAAAACATGAAAGTTCTCTATCACATCATCAGAACCAGTTTTATTTTCCATTAATATCCACTCTATTTAAAAACATGAAAGTTCTCTGTCACAACATGAAAGAAAAGTTAAAACATGAAAGTTCTCTATCACATCACCAGAACCAGTTTTATTTTCCATTAATGTCCACTCTATTTAATCTCCCATAAATGTTTTGTATATTCCTTCTGCTGTAGGTCCTCCAATCTGAAGATCAGTTCTTCCACTATTTGTGAGCCCAGCTTTTCCTGAAAGGCTCCCTTCAAGTTCCATTTATAACCATGTTAGTCCTCATTCATCTCTATTCCCCTGGCACACAGAATAGACTCTAGCATAGTCCGACACAGACTCTAGCACGTGGTATCGCCAACTTACATACATTGGAATATTTCTTGATATTCTTTTATGTGTGTTAATATTTTCTCCATTAACAGAACTCATATAATAGCAGGGGTCTTATTCATTGAAGTGCCTAACAACAGAGTTGAACAGAGTGAACACTCAATACTTCCTGATGGACTCTCCTGTAGGTGAATTTTGTCCCAATGAATATAGTGCTAGAAACCATATTCCAAGGTTGCAGAACCTTAATATTAAAGTATAACTAATGCTTAGCATCTATGCATTGAATTAGCAATAAACAAAGTACATAAAGTTAATAAGGGAGAATACAAATGACAGACACCAATTGTCCTCTTGTATTCAACCTGTTAAATCTTTAAATGTGTCATACTGCTTTGGTGAGTGATTTGGCATAGGTGGATCCTGTACAGAAATCTGGGATACTAAAAGTGAGAAATGAAATTCAAAGTGAGACAAATGAAGAACTGTTCAACCACAATTAAGTTTATGTCTCCAAAACACAATATACACACAATGAAAACAAGAATAAGTCCTTTTCAAGTTCTATATAAAGAGTAACTAAAATAGAGTCAAGAAAATGACTCTTGCTACAGGTTATTTTTTGATACAGAATGCAATGAACTTTTTAAGAAAGCAATACTTTCAAAAGATTATTTACTGGGACACTAAAGTAGGTATAACAATACTTCTTTGTAATTATATTAAATGCTATTTTTACTTATTCCAAGATTAAGTTGGACATCAACTAGAAATTAACATCACAAGTATATAGTTTCATGTCTTCTTCTTCTTCTTCTTCATCATCATCATCATCATCATCATCATCGACATCTTCATCAGCATCAACTTTTACTTTTTTCTGGGGAACCTTGCTACCACCTCCAGGGGCAGATTGCTTTCCAGATACACTTAAAGAGTTTCACATCCTCCTCCTCTTCATCTTCTGACTCTGCATCTTCCTCCACAGCTACTAAGTGCTGGCCACTAAAATGCACAGGCCCTGAACCGCACTTCAACCTTAAGACCACAGGTGGTGTGATTTCAAAGCCCCCAAGGGAAACCGTTGGCTATACTGACATTTTCAATGTTGCCAGTGTTACTTTAATTGGACTGCCTTCATAATTCATTGCCTCTGCTTCAACAATGTGCAATTCATCCTTTGCACCAGCCCCTAGACTGACCGTTCTTAATGATAACTGGTGCTCATTTTCATCATTATCCACCTTAAAGTGATAATCTTTGTCAGCTTTTAGCTCACAACCGAAAAGGTAGTTCTGGGGCTTCAGGGGGCTCATGTCCATATCCATGGAATCTTCCATGGGGTGGTAGCACGCACTTAGGTGGGAGAGAAGGCGGACAGAAAATGGGTGGCTGCTCTAAAGAGACACGCAGGACCGAATCACGCCAGGCAAAAAAGGATATTTATTGACAAAAAGCTAGAATTAGCTGGGCATGGTTGAGCATATCTGTAATCCTGGTTTCTCAAGAAGGTAAAGAGAAAAATTACAAATTGGAGGCCAGCCTAGGCAATTTAGCAAAGCCCTGTTTCATAAAAGTAAAAAAAAAAAAAAATGGGCTATGGACATCAATAAGTGGTAGTTTGCCCCTGGGTTCAATCCCTAATACCCAAAAGAAAAAGGTTAAACTACTAAATAATACACACGATCCTAAACATGTAAGAAAGTATGTGTGTGTGTGTATCTATATATTTTTAATTTCTAAATGGCTATTTTGAATGGTGGAATCACCAACAATTCTCCTAATTTTAAAAACAAACATATTTAGAACCAGAAACCTCCCTCCTATTAAGTGTTACTCTAAACTACCTAATTCTGTCTAATGAAATGAAATTTTAAAATTAAATTTAGTATGGATGAAAAATATTATATAGTAGTTAGGATGTGGGTTCCATTAAAATTTTGATATATTTTGGTGTAGGCTGATATCCGATGAAAACTTTATTATGTAAGTATTTCAATTACTGTTCTGAGTCATCCTAAATATAATTAATTCACCTTCAATGTTTATTGCTTTAAATGTGAAGTATGGATCCACTCAAAGGCTATCTTGTTTTAGTCTTTAAAAACTTAAAGAGAGCACAAAGCCTTCTTTACAGATATCCCTTAAGAAATCAAATATGTGCCTTGCAAACTTTGGAAATGCATCAGACCCTAAAGTGGGATCTTTTGTGCCTCTGGTCAACTTTGAGCATACAGTAGGCACTTAATAATGAACACCGGAATGTATAAATTCCCTCTTTAGATATCTTGACTTACTTTCCCTTCCCTCAGTTTAGATGACCTGAGAAACACTTCCTCAAAATAACCCTCTGGCTCACCATGAGAAGAATGCCTGGCACCAGCTGGCAGGACATATTAATAGCACACCCATTAGGCACTTGTTCAAGGCACATAGATAGCTCAGTGATAAAATCTTTAGAAATATTTGGACAGTTAAGATTATTTGGAATATGAATCAGTTGTGGTTCTTTAATTCTTTTAATATTAAGAAATCAACTAGTGTTTTTGGAAATTCTTAAAAAAAATAGCAAGCTGTTGCAGCAATAATTGCTTTCAGTTTCTGAGAACTCAGTATTTGGGGCTAAGGAAAGCAAGCTTACAAAAGCAAAATCCTATTTTTCTTGTAACAAAGATTCTTTTGAAGAATTCAGATGTTAAAATAGAGAAGAAAATGTAATTTTCCTATTAAACTTCAGTTTTCAGTATTTTACCTATGATTTCCTGATGATAGAGAAGTCTCTTACCCATGAAACTATGCTTCTATTCTTCTCTAGGCAACAATGAACTTTAAAGCAGAGTCATATTTAAAATTAAAATATCCTAGTTCATTCATAGTGGCCACTGGAGGGATCAGAAAGGGATAGGACTACTACCAATTTCAAATTATACATAATTTAGAAATACCTGAATCTTCACCAGGAAGAATTAATCATTCTTTTGGTTTGTGTAGAGGGGAGTGAGGGGAGGAAAGGAATGGGGCTGTGGGGATGGGAAGACAGTAGAATGAGACAGACATAATTACCCTATATACATGATTACACTACTGGAGTGACTGTGTACCAAGTACAGCCAGAGGAATGAGAAGTTATGCTCCATTTGTGTATAATATGTCAAAAAGGAAGGAAGGAAGGGAGGGAGGGAGGGAGGGAGGAAGGAAGGAAGGAATAAAGGAAGGAAGGAAGAAGGAAGGAAGGACCACCCTAGTTACAAATTATTCACCTAACCCTGAAGTAAATTTTTTAAATATTCAGTTTAACCAGTAAAAAACACAAGTTCTAAGTATCCTTTTGTTATTTCCTCTAAAGTGGTCTATCTCCTATACAACTTTAGATAACCATAAAGATATTTCATTCTTTGGGTTATCATTCAAAGTTCCTACAGAAGTATCAGAAGTAAAATGGATTGTTTTTCTTAGTTATTTTGTAATGTATCTAAATGTTTGAATTAATTTATATAAAAATAATAGATAACAAAAAGCTTTGAATCCTCAAAGATGAAAAAGATGAAGAAACAAGTACCTTACTAGGTACTCTGCATTGAACTAGGCAGCGACAGAGAATAAGAAAAAGATGTAGTTGCTGACTTTGAAGAACTTTTCATCTAGCTGGGGAAATTATATGGGGAATGATAGGTAATGAGATAAATGAAATGCTTTCCTAAGGTACAGAGAATAGATGTTTACAGGCAGAAAGATATATCTACTCTCATTTTGGGTAGAGAAGCAAATAAGAATGATGAGGTGGGGCCACATTATGGAGGGGCTTTAGAAGTCTCACTGAAACATTTCAGATTTGATGTGGCATTAAAGTGAGCTTTGAGATATTTTTGGAAAACAGGATGAATTTAGGGAAAGAGGAGTTAGGAAAAAATCAGACAGGCCAACTAGAAAATGATTATTAAAGGTATAATTTTCTGTTAGTGGACTTTTAAAAAAATATATTTTTAAATTGTAGATGGACACAATAACTTTATTTCATTTATTTATTTTTATGTGGTGCCAACGATCAAACCCAGTGTCTCACATGTTTGAGGCAAAGGCTCTACCACTGAGCCACAATCCCAATCCCTGTTAGGGTACTTTAAAGCAGTATCTCACCACATAACTAGTAGATATTCTAAAAATTTTCTTGGTCTTCAAGAAGCCTTTTATTGTTTTAGTCACAATATATATGCTACCACTATATCACTCACTCTTTCTTTTTTTTTTAATTTTTAATATTTATTTTTTAGTTCTCGGCGGACACAACATCTTTGTTGGTATGTGGTGCTGAGGATCGAACCCGGGCCGCACGNAGCGTGCTACCGCTTGAGCCACATCCCCAGCCCTCACTCACTCTTTCTAAAGTATATGTCAAGGAATGTAGACATGTGAATAAAAAAGGAAACAAAAACCAAAACAAAGCAAAAAGAGAAAAAAAAAGGGAAGTATAACTAATTAGTTCTAATCTGAAAATTATTGCATTTGTATTATCTGAAATTAATGTGAAAATAAAATAAAAATGGTATTCTTATCACCGAATAATTTTAATTCTATGAAAATTCCAATGTACACCTCTAGTCTACCAAACATTAAATTCACTTAAATATACATGAAATGCATGATAATTACTGTATTTTGTGAGCAATTTAATATTTATGCATACTAAGAACAAAGTAACTTTACTTTGTCATTCAAGTGAGCACATTATCAAAATGTACAATGTAATTACATTTAGCTTGAGTAGATAAGTAAGATAAATATATATTGATTTTACCTTTGCTTTAGTCGTCTTTTGGCTGTTGTGGGAACATTAGCACCATAGCCATAGGAAAAAAGAATCCTCTCAGCCTCATCTTCATTTTCAACTGGAAAATATTGAAGTGTGTGATGTGAAAGAATTCCGCCCCCCCCCATAAAAAGCATGGCAGAAGTGAAGATAAAAGAGTTAATAATGAATTAGGGAGCACAACAACATTAAAAAGGACTAATGTGCAATCTCAAAACAGCCCATTTGCAAGTAGAAGGATATTTCTAAAAGTATACCCTTGTTTGGATTTGTTTGATTTACTTTTTAGAAAGTATTAAGGGATTACCTCATATGACATGTTAAGTTTTCTTGTTATAATGCACAACGCAGATGCATTATTCTGAAGGATTTAAAGGCTTTTTATGTGAAATATATGCTATAAAATGACAAATAATGATAATATCAATTCATTAATTCTCTTCTTGGTAAAAAATGATTAATTAGAAAATATATTCATTATTTTCTCAAAATAACAACTTAATTTCAACTTACAATAGCAAAATTATACATTCAAGTAGGCTACTTGGAATAAAATGTGTAGTTCTAAGCATATACTGATAGACTAAAATTAGTAACTCAAAAAGTTCAGAGAAAATAATTTATTTCTAAATTCTGCCACTGTCATACCACATCCTAATTTTTTCTTCAACTAACAGGTTAATATCTTGTGGGAAAAAATTCAATTCAATAAATTTTACTACAAGTTAGGATTAAAAAAATTTCACTGATGATTACAAAAACTGAAGTTTTACTAGCTTGAATTAAGGCAAAGATTATAAAAACATTTATAACTATCTATCAACAGCAATCATTTTACTGTTTAAAAGGAGAACTCTAAATTCAGGAGTATTTCCAATTTAAAATAAAACCAAGAACCATATCATAAATGAAGCTTGACTATTTGCAGCATCACAATATGTTGTGTACATAATTGCTGACTGGTCTTTCTGTAGTACTGTAAAGATTTTAGAAATATTAATAACTGTTTTCCTTTAATTTTGTTCTTTCATGTTAAATCAGGATCAGCTTTCAGAGATAGAATTATAAAGTTAATTATTAGTTGAGAAGGATACATAGAAGAGATGATAAATGTCATTGCTAATATTGTTACCAGTTATCAGATATCTTCTAGATCCAAGATGATCTCCAGTTCAACTCTACCAGAACTAGACTAGAATTGAGATACATATCTGACTCTTTTCTCTCTTAAATGGCTGCAAATTTATCTATTGAAGGGCACCAAGGCTGATTCCATTGCTTAGCTATTGTGAGTTGAGCTGCTATGAACATTGATGTGGCTGCATCACTGTAGTATGCTGATTTTACTTCCTTTGGGTATATACTGAGGAGTGGGATAACTGAGTTAAATGGTGGTTCTATTCCTAGTTTTTTGAGGAATCTCCATACTGCTTTCCAGAATGGCTGCATCAATTTGCAATCCCACCTGCAATATATGAGTGTACTCTTTCCCCCACATCCTTGCCAACACTAATTATTACTTGTATTAGACAGGAATAAATAAGACAGTGGAAAGAATCTGACATAATTTCCTACATACATATATAAATACACCACAATGAATCTAAACATTGTGTACATCTACAAGACTGGGATCCTAATTAGAATAAGATATACTCCATGCTTGTATGTCAAAATAGACTTTACTGTCACATATAACTAAAAAGAACAAATAAAAAAGAAACAATCTCATTGTCAGCTGAAATTAGCTGATTTAGACGGTAAACCTTTGAAAATGGTACACATTTTAGTACTAAGAAAGAAAATGCTTGCATACTTAATTAATTTATTTATTAGTATTGAAGATTCTTTACCACTGAGYTACATCCCCAGTTATTTTTATTTTTATTTTAAGACAGGGTCTTGTTAAATTTCCCAGGCTGGCCTCAAACTTGTGATCTTCTAGTCTCAGCTTTTTGAGTTGTGAAGACTACAGCTGTGTGTGATCATGCCTAGCCAAAACATTTTAAATTTTGTTTAACCAACAACTATTCACTAGAATATTAGAAAATTCTAGTTTCTATTATAAACTGATAGAGAAGAACCTAGTTATTGTCCTTCCAGTACAAGTAAATGTTTTATTCTAAGATGAATTTTAAGATATTTTAGACAATACATAGCAAATTTCTAAAGATTTTAAGAAACATTTGGACATTGGAAAAATCGAAAGAATTGTATTATATACCCACAACATACACACTCTAAATTATACATTTGTACATTTGTTTATCATATATTCATCCATCCTTGTATCTACCCATAAATCTACTGAATTTTTTTGAATATATTTCAAAGGAAGTTGCAGATATCTGCACACTTCATCCCTCAACAGTTCAACATGCAACTCATCAGTAATGGTTCAATATTTAGTCTTTAAAATAAAATTATATATGGTAAAAGGTACGAATCTTAATTAAGTCTACTATTCAATGAGTTCAATGGATTTTGAAATGTAAAAAAGTTTTGAAATATATATACATGGGTAATACAAATCCCATCAAAGTACAGGTATAAAGACATGAATTGGTATGCATATACTGTGTATACAACCAGAGATATGAAAATTGTGCTCTATATATGTAATAAGAATTGTAATGCATTCCACTGTCATATTTTATATATTTATAAAGATATTCACAACATTAGAAAAGCTGGAATGTTTCCTCATGTCTATTTTCCCAATTAATTCTTGGTGGAAAACCATTCCTAGAGACATCACTATTCTGAATTTTTCACCGCAGATTTTACCTCTTCTAGAACTTTCTATAAATTGACTCAGTTAGTATAAATTTCTGGGAAAGCTTTGGTAGACTAAGTATAAAAATTTTCAGGTTCTGCCATATTGTTGAATGAATCAGCTGTTGATTTCTTTTCATAGAGTAGTTCTATTGTATAAATACATGATGGTTTATTTAAACATTTTTCTGTGATAAACACTTGGACTGTTGCAAGTTTTTATTATGAATAAAGCTCCTATGAATATTCTACTAGAAACTTTTTTTGCATATAGGCTTTCTTTTCTTTTCTTTTGGGTAAAGAATTAGGATGCAATTGCTGGTCACTATAGAGATTGGTTATTTCTATAAAACCAGTCAATTGCTCTAAATTCTCACCAATATTTTGTGTAGATAATCTTTCTAATTTTAGCCATTCTGGTGAGTTTGTAATACTATCTCATCAGGCTTTTAATTTAAATTTCCCTCCTGAATAATATTGTTGAATATCTTATGGTGCTTACTGGCTAGTATTTGTTCAAATCTTTTGCCCATGTTTTAAATTGGGCTTTTTTTTTAAATCATTGATTTGCCTGAGTTCTTTTTATATTCCAGTATATTACTTTCCTATTGCTGCTATAACGTTATCAGACTTAAAGTCATACAAGTTGATTATCTTGTAGTTCTAGAGGTCAGAAGTCTACTTCACTGAACTGAAGGACAAGTGTTGATAGAGCTGGTTCTGTATGAAGGTTCTCAGGGAGAATCCACTTCCTGGCCTTTTCCAGTTTCCAGGGGCTGCTTTGATGCCCTATTAGTACACTTCCCTTCTCCATTTTCAAGGCCATCAGCATAATATCTTTGAATTCTCTCTGAATTATACTTTCATCACCATATCAACCTCCCCTCTTTCTTTTTATTTTTTAAAAATTGGTGCATATTAACTACACAGTACATTTTCTGGCATTATCATACATAACATTATATCATTACATTGTAATTTGATCAATTTCACTATCCCCAAACCTCCCCTTATCCACCTTTCCTTTTATAAAGATCCTTGTGATTATACTAGGACTACCCAGCTATTATTACCAGGACAATCTCATGTCAGGATTCTTAACCACATCAACAAAGCCTCTTTTGCCATATAAGGTAATATATTTACAGAGTCTAGAGATGGGGACATGGACATCTTTGTTACTTTGAAACGAAACCTAAATGTAATAGTCAAAATTATAAACTTGGAGTAGGCAAAGATTTTTTAGACAGGGGCCTGAAGTCAATTGCTATAAAAGAAAAAGTGATATAGAAGACATCAAATTTAAAAACTGTTCTTAGCCAGGTGCAGCAGTGTGTGTGTATAATCCCATGATCTCTTTTGTATATTCTATAAAGAACTGAATATCACTTGTAGATAGCACCTATTTTGCCACTTCAAAGACTAGGAACCCTTATGAGGTAAGAATTTTTTGCATGAACTCTATATCCCTACTTCTTCTTTTTTTGTTTTTTTTTACTTTTTTATTTGTTATTTTTAGTTATACATGACAGTAGAATTGTTTTGACTAATAACTAAAAGTCTAACTTCACATTCTTGTGGTTGTACATAATGTGGAGTTATACTGGTCGTGTATTCATATATCAACATAGGAAAGTTATGTCCAATTCATTCAACTATCTTTCTCATTCCCATCCCTCCTCCCTTCCCCCATTACCTGGTCCAACCTCCACACCCCCTCCACCCCACCGTCCTGCTTTTGTGAGTCAGTATCCGTTTATCAGAGAAAACAGCCTTTGGTTTTTTTTGAGATTGCCTTATTTCACTTAGCATGATAGCCTCCAGTTCCATTAATTTACTGGAAAATGCCATAATTTCATTCTTCTTTATGGCTGAGTTAATATCCCATCATGTATATGTACCACATTTTCTTTATCCATTCATCTATTGAAGGGCACCTAGGTTGGTTCCATAGCTTAGCTATTGTGAATTGAGCTTCTATGAACATTTATATGGCTGTGTCACTACAGTATCCTGATTTTAAGTTCTTCGGGTATATGCCAAAGAGTGGGATGACTGGGTCAAATGGTGGTTCCATTCCAAGTTTTCTGAGGAATCCCCATGCTGCTTTTTAGAGTTGTTACACCAATTTGCAGTCCCACCAGCAATATATGAGTGTACCCTTTCCCCACATCTTTGCCAATATTTGTTGTTATTTATATTCTTAAATGATTGCCATTCCGACTGCATTAAGGTAAAAATCTCAGTGTAGTTTTAATTTGCATTTTTCCAATTGCTGATGTTTCACATTTTTAAGTATATTTGCTGACCATTTGTATTTCTTCTTCTATGAAGTATCTGTTTAGTTCCTTTGCCCATTTTTCGATCAGGTTATTTGCTTTTTTGGTGTTAATTTTTTTGAGTACTTTATATATCCTAGAGATTAATCCTCTATCTGAGGTGCATGTGGACAAAGATTTTCTCCTATTCAGTAGGTTCTCTCTTCATGTTCTTGATTTTTTCCTTTGCAGTGAAGAAGCTTTTTTGTTTGATATAATCCTATTTATTGATTCCTGTATATCCTTATTTCTTGATAAATGAAAATACTTAATTGTTGATTGAAATGTATCACGTTTAACCTATTTTTAATTTCAACTGTTGAAAGTTAACATGAACTAATATTTGAAATATGGAGTATTCTTTAAAATATGGTCACCAATTATATTTTAAGGAAATACATACCAAAGTAGTTCTAGAAATGATGTCAGGTTCCTCCTGTTGCCAGAAAAAAAGACTATATGTGTGTTGGGGGGGGGGGAATGGGAGATGCAGGGAGACTTACTTTCTGCTGTTTGCATTATTACTTCATCTAGCTCTTTTTCCAATTTCTCATAAATGTCTAGCCTTGCCTGGTGCTCAGAATTCTGTGCTTGAAGTTCAGTAATGCGTTTTTCAGAGGAGGTTTGGAGACTATAAAATTCTTTAGTTAAAACCTAATAGTGGAAGAAAAGAATTACAAAGGTTCACAGAATTAAGAAATAGGTATTCAGTTAAGACAAAAACATGACACAAAGATATATATTTTCTCTCTGTAATTATTTAAATATTAACAGAAAGTAGCTCAATTGAGATGTCTTATCAGGAAATAAAATACATTTGTTTCTAAAGTAAATCAGTTGTTTTAAACTGAAAATTATTAAATATTTTTTCTTATATAAGCTGAATAAAAATAAATTTTAAACTCACAAATAGTTATAGGCGTAATATTAGTATTTGCTTTTTTAGAATTAAAAACTAAAACAACATCAAACTTACCTGCAGGTCATTTATCAGCAATCACAGGCATTTGAATAAGGCTTACAAAACTGTGTGTAAAAACAATATACTCATAATGAGTCCTACAGTTTTCCATCAGAGCTTATTTAATCTACTCTTTCCATGGTTTTAATAACATTTTGGGTTTCCTGAATAGTCATAAATTCAAAGCAACAAATCAAAAGGTAAATGTGAAGTACTGCTTGGAGCAGTATCAGAAAATGCCTTTGTAAAGAAAGAAAGAATTTTAAAAAGTTTAAAAAAGGATGCAAAAGAATTGGAATTTTGTATAAGGTCAAAAGAATCCTACATTCTTCAATGGTTACTCACTGAAGAAATCGATATGATCGTAACAATGAATTAGCTAAAAAAAATAGATGCTTCCAGTAACGAAGCACTGTTTTAATGCTTAAAGTAAATTTCCATTATCTAGAAAATTTATATACTAGGAACTGACTAAATCGTGGAGCATGAGTAATATACTGTTTCATGAGAGGTAAAGGAACATTATGCAGTATGGTTTGGAGCCAGAAAGACATGGATTTCAGTATCACTTTAACACCTAGTAGCTGTGATCGTAGGCAATTAGTTACTCTTTCTTTATACCACATAACATTGTTGGAAGATTAAATGAGATGCTAAACTTAAAGTGCTCAGCAAAAATACTGCTATTACCATAAGAAATAGAATTATGAGAACTTTGTATTAAATAGCTCATGGAAATAGAACTCCACTGATTTAATTATCCTGAATTCTCTATAATTAATCCTTCTGAAGACAACTTACTTTCTCTAATGACACAAAGTTCACTTTAACGACTGTATATGATTATATGCTTTCTGTGATGTAGAAAAAGATGACACAGAAGATAAAGAAGATTTACAATTCTTAATGAGCAGAAACTACAATTTAATGTTCCTTAACTCACTCCATGTCATCTCCTTCAAATTTCAACAAAAAATTTCTTCCAAAAGCAAATAAAACTTTGTCCCCCACCTTTCAAATACACTCCTTTGGAGGGTGGAGAAGGAATAACATGGGAATAATATTTTTAGGATAATTTTTACTGTCTTTGGGTCAGGAAAACAAAAATTCACTGTTTTAGCATTATTTTTTCTTTCTTCTTGCTGGCTAGGAATGTGCTTTCTAGAAATTTTGTAATTTATTATAAAAAAAAGCATTGCTCAGTACAACAATTTGGGACCTTCATGGATTTCATTACATTGGGGTGTAATTTATAAATAATCTAGTGGCTGATAATACTGATAAATTCTACTGTTAAAGACAGGGTGAATAAAGATAGTGTTAAATAACTATTCTCCTAATGTATAGCTGATACTTTTTCATCTGTATCCCCCCCCAAAGAAATCACACAAAGAGAAATTACACAAATAGACTATCTAAAGAGATAAAGAATCAAAATGTCAAAGATGGGCTATTTCATAAAGTATTATTTTAAGAAAAGATTTAAAAAGTAATAAATTGAGAAATATAACCTATAATCTTCTTTTCCTAGCATGGAGGAGTGACTCCTAGGAATAAATTTATTATTGCTTCTGAAAAGCCAAAACAAAACAAAACAAAACAAAACAACCCCCCCCCCCAAAAAAAAACTTGATTATTTGACCTATGGAGGGGTATTATATTAAAGATGCTTTAGAAGAAAAAACAACATACGAATTTAAACATGGAGATATAAAATAGGTAAATTACTTTGAGGAAATGATTAAATATCAAGCTCACACAGTGGAGATTCCTTCCCTTACATAATAGATACATTAACCGAATGATAATATATAATTATGTGTCAAAAACTGCTTCAAAAAGAGACTGGTATTTGGGAGCCTTTGCCAATTAATTAATGATTAAAGCAAAAATAAAATAAATCATTCCCAAGTTAAAAATCAATAAAAATATTGAATAAAGTTCTATAAATCCATAATTTTTACCTTTCATGAAATTATTTCACTTCATTATAAGTAAGAATTGTCTCAGAAACAAATACTTTTCAGAGTTAAAAAGATTTAAAAAATGGAACTATATTAGCCTTAATCAAACCATTCTTTCATTCGTTAAATACTTAACAAGCATCTGCCATGGGGGAAGTACTGTGTTGGGCACTGGTGACACAATGGTAAATGAATAGTCCCTGACACTTCAAGACCTCAGGGTAACAAATGGAGAAAATGTAAAGAAATTTCCCCCAAACTGTGCTTCTCCATATAAGACCTTTAAATAAATGAATATAAAAATTACTAGTTACCTATATCCACAGACTAAGTGGACGGTGTTTTTCAAATTCTAAGTTTCAACCTTTAGGAGGTTTGGTTTAGAGAATTGTTTGGAAAACATCAGTTCTGTATATCCTGAGCATTATTTGTGTGATAAAGTATTGGTTTGTGAGGCCTTTTTGTTTTCAGGAGTACCAAAAGAGCAGTGCTTCTGTATTTTTAAATATAAATAGTTTCCATCTATCACCTAACTCCAGCTCCAAGAAACATTCTTAAACACAATGATTCAATGTGAAAAGGAAAAGAAAAAGTGTTTTGCTAGGAATCATTAAAATTAACTATGGAAAATGCAACTTGCAAAAGACAAATATCCAATAATAGCTAAATTGTGAGATTATCTGAAATTGTGTGGGAGAATCAGATTATGACTGCAGGAGTTTCCTGAAGAAGGTATATGATAAAAGTTCTAAGTGCCAAACATTGATTTGCTTTAGAAGAAGATACCATCTATAACTTTTTCTTGTTATTTTCAATCATACATATACTCAATAACCATTTTTGTATTTTTCACTAAGGTTTTATTTTCTGAGACCCTTTATCCACCACCCCATCCCCACCCTACAGTACGGGGGATTGAACCCAGGGCACTCTACCACTGAGCTACATCCCTATCCCTTTATGTTTTTTATTTTGAGACAGGGTCTTGCTAAATTGTTGAGCTGACCTCCAACTTTCAATCTTTCTGCCTCAGCCTCTCTAGTAGCTGGGATTATAGGCAGGTACCTTCATGCCCAGCTGTGCCCAGCCATGCCCAGTCCTGAGATCCCTTATCTTGTTAAACTTAGTTTTACAAATCATCGAACTTTTCAAAAGTGTAATCGTTCAGGGATTATTACAATAAACACTTTTAATTATTTCTTGAATAATGTAGAGGTCAAAACTACGAGGTATGAGGTCAGTCTGATCAGATGTGAGCTCCCAATTACAACGACTCAGTTACTTGTCAATTTTGCAGTCCTTAAGTAATTCAACTTTTTATTTATTTATTTATTTTTTGTGTCTTCGTATTTACGCTTTGGATAATAATGGTCATTACATTCCACCATCGTTTAGAACCCCATAACCCCTCTCTTCCCCTCCCACCTCTCTGCCCTATTCTAGAGTTCGTCTATTCCTCCCATGCTCCCTTTCCCTATCCCACTATGACTCAGCCCCCTTATATCAAAGAAAACAATCAGCATTTGTTTTTTTTTGGGATTGGCTAACTTCACTTAGCATCATCTTCTCTAACTCCATCAATTTACCTGCAAATGCCATAATTTTAATCCCCAACCCCCTAAGTAATTCAACTTTTCTATGAACAACAAAGTAGAAATAAAGCATAAACCTACCCATGGTCTACTCATTTTATTTATTACTATTATTTGGCATGGAGAATTGAACCCAGGAGTGCTTAGATACTAAGTCATATCCCCAACCCTTTTCATTTTTTATTTTGAGATAGGATCTCCCTAAGTTGCTCAAGCCAGCTTTGAACTTGAGATCCTCCTGCCTCAGCCTCCTGAGCTGCTAGGATTATAGACATGCCCCAACTCACCTGGTATGGGCTATTTATTAATCAATTACAGCTACTATTAAGTTTATGGTACATTTCTTCAAGATACCCTCAGACATTTTAAAAAATCTAATGTATACACTTGTGTAAAGGGCTGTTTTCACCTTATATTATTATAAAAGTGTATTTTACATGTTACTGTGTGGTCTTAAAATATCAATTGATCTTAAAATGTTAATTACACAAAATCATTTTTTTAATGTTACCATTCTTCAATAATAGGATTTTATAGTTTTTTGTTCTCTGCTGTTATAAATAATACCACAATGAATATCTGTGCATGAAGCTTTTTACATATTTAAGACATATCATTATAAACGCACAATGCAAAATTGTTTTACAAAAACAATAAAATCATTTCAGATCTTTAAAAGTAGTTTTGTGAGGAAAGGTAAATAAAAATAGTTAAAAAGAATTTTTTGGGGGGCTGGGGTTGTGGCTCAGAGGTAGAGTGCTCGCTTAGCATGCACGAAGCACTGGATTCGATCCTCAGCACCACGTAAATGTAAAATAAAGATATTATGTCCACCTAAAACTTAAGAATAAATACTTAAAAAAAGAATTATTTCGATATTTGAATATGTACGTATGCATGTGTGTAACACACACACACACCACATATATTTGCAGATTTACAAAAGGTTGTATATTATGACATTTATCCTATTATGTGATACCTTACATTATAATTTAGGGATAATGCTTCAATATCTGATAAATTTTAATTGAGAAAGGTTTTAAATTAACTTTCAGTTTCTTTGCCTCCAACTTCTGTTTGATCATCTAAAATTATATATTTTCATAGCTAAAACAAGTTTTCATATGTAGAAAGGAAAATTGGAAGTGTAAATGCTTGGGTTTTAGATAGCACAGGATTGAGAAATCTGAAAAGTAAAAAAACATCCAATTATCCTTTTACAAATATTTATCTTTTGAGAAGGGATGCTTTCATTTACTTAACATTTCCTAACATTACCAAAGCCAAAATTTTATAGCATCAAAGGAGAATATTTTGAGAACTTCTAATACTTGTTAAGAATACACTAATGATTTATTTGTGCCCAAAAGACTATTAGACCTATTTGCCTAATGAAAAAACTGAGGCTCAAACAAAATGAGTAATTTATTCAAAAAGGAGTCACTAATTTGGATTCAAATCTTAGTTCTGTTGACTTGAAAGCTTACAGGTCTAACTACTACCCAATGTTGCTATAAGAAATTCTATCAGGGCGGAAAAGAGTTTCCATTTTTCTTAAGTATAAAATTCAAGAGAAAAGTAATCAAAACCTCACTGCTGTCCAATAGTAAGGGCATAAGCGATTATGTTAATTTTCTAGAGCATGTACTCCACTGTTACCAGTCATTTGTGGATAAGCAAATTTAGATTTGATTTAATTAAGCTAAAAATCAATTTAGGTTGTCAGTAGCACTAGCCATATTTTAAGTGCTAAATGCCCTCAGGTGACCAGTAGCTACTGAACTGGATAGCACAGATAGAGAACATTTCCAACATAAAGAAAAAAAAAAAAAAAAAAAAAAAAGAAAGTTCTATTCAAAGTCCTATTCAAGGCTAGGTGTGGGTGGCGTAACTGTAATCCTAGCTATTCTGGAGGTTGAGGCAGGAGGATCACAAATTTGAGGCCAGCCTGGGTACCTTAGTGAGATCCTGGCTTAAAATAAAAAATAAAAAGGGTTGGGGATATAGCTCAGTGATAGAATGTCTCTGGGTTCAACCCCAACTCAGAAAAAACAAACAACCCCCCCCAAACAACAACAAAAAAGCCCCGTTTGAAACTATTCATTTTATGCAGAGAAATTAATTTCTCATTAAAAGTTGTGTGTATATCAATGCCTAGTACAGTGCCTATTGCCCAACAGACACCCAATTAGAAAGTACTGAACACTATCAATCCAATTAACTATGTGCCAAGATTCTGGCTAGGACCTGGGAATATATTGATCACTTAAAAAAGGTCATCCTGGAACTTACTATCTAGTGAGGAAAATGAAGAAAATATAACCATACCACTTTAATATTTTGGTATATTTTCCTTCAAATCTTTTCTTGTATGTTCATTAATGGTTGTTACTAAATATGCAACCTGCAGTCAAGATCAAGCTGATGACATAATTGCATCTCTCATTCAATGTTTTAATTTTTCCTCAAATCTAAAACAGTCAAGAACATGACTGTATACAATCATATAGTGAATAGACACAACAAAATATATAATTCAAAATGTGGTAACTAAAACTGTTTCATTATCTACTGTTGAATATTTATTTTTATTAAGTTATTTACAATTTTTATATGATAATATTGTGATGTACATCATTAATATAAATCTTTATAAGCATCTCATTATTTCCTTAGGTAAAATTCCCTTAATTGAAATTACTGTTCAATATTCTAAGATCATATACACAGATTACCATATTGTCCCCTAGAAGGGCTATTCCATTTTGTTATTATGTGAGACTTCTCACTTAAGGGCACTCTTGCTAGCACATTAAAAAATAACACATATATCTATATAAAGGTAAAAAAAAATTAAATTTATATTTCTTGAATTTTCAATGAGAATACATATATTTTCATCTATTTATTAACAATATGAGTTCAGGTTGAAAAAGGTGCATTTCTTTTTTTTTTTTTTACCTATATACCTAGAATAGGAAAACATATTCTCTTGATAAGAAATCTTTTAAAATGAAATAGGTCCTTTATCATAATACTACAAATAGTATTTTCCAGTTTCCATTTTGCCTATAATGCTATTCAGTTTCTTTAACCTACGAGTTCTATTTTTCTAATATTCATTTCTTTACTTTAATCAACAGAATATCAGATTAATTCCCAAACTGATATAAAGCAAAATTTTATCTATAATTACTTAAACAGTTTAAAATTCCATATATACATTCAGCTCAGTAATTTATTTGACTTTTATTTTTGGTAATGGTATGAAGGACAGATACAATTGTTTTCCCTATATACTCAAATGATTACCACAGCACCATTTATTATTCAATCTATACTTCCCTCACTGATTTGATTCTTACTATAAAAATTATTAAACTTATGTAAATATATTTTGGGGGTTTTTATTTCATATCATTTATAGATCTTTTATGTTTTAATTATTCTTTCTTCAGAATGTATTTTTAAATGTAAAGTGTATTTCCTTTGAAAAAAATCTTTTTTTTTAATATTTATTTCTTAATTGTAGTCAGACACAATACCTTTCTTTTTATTTATTTATTTATTTATATGTGGTGCTGAGGATTGAACCCAGGGCCTCACACTTGCTAGGCCAGTGCTCTACCACTGAGCCAAAACCCAGTCCTGAAAAAAATCTTTAAAAATATTTTCCTTCTAGTTGTACCACCTAATTAACTTTGGTGGGTCAAAAAATGCATGCTAGCATTTGATTAGAAATATATATGCCTGGCATGGTGGTGCACACTTGTAATCCCAGTGGCCTGGGAGGCTGAAACAGGAGTATTGCAAGCTCAAAGCCAGCCTCAGCGCTGGTGAGGCACTAAGCAACTCAGTGAGACCTTATTTCTAAATAAAATACAAAATAGGGCTGGGGATGTAGCTCAGTAGTTGAGTACCACTGAGTTCAATCCCCAGTACCAAAAAAATAAAAAGTAATAAATATATAATATTATTTGATGAAAACTGAAAAATATATTAATACTGAATATTCCCTTATAGAAAATATTTCTTTTTACAAATGTCAATGAAGCTCTATAGTTTTCTAGATATAGATTTTATTTTTCTTATTAAAAGTAGTTGTGTTTTGGGTTGCTATTGTGTATAAGATCTTTCCCCAACCTATTTTCTAATACTTCCAGTACTTTCTGATGTATATTGTTCTGAAATATGTGTGTGTGTGTGTATGTGTGTGTGTGTGCACGCACATGTGCAAGTGCACACACATGAATACACATACACATACACACTTTTTGATTTTTTTTAAAGACAATGAGGTCCTCCAGGAAACATAAAACTCTATATAAACTTTGTACCTAGGGAGCTTGCATGCAATCTAATGTTGAAAGAAAACTGTATATAAATACCTCCAATTTTTTCTGATATTTTTCACATTCCAGCTGACACTGTGTAAGATTTCTTAGAGTTTCTTCTTGTAGAAGTTGAACACGCTCACTTTCAAAAGACTTTAATTTAGTTTGATGGAGAAATTCTGTTACTTTGCTTTCAGTACTAAGTTGTAGTTCTCTGTACCTGAAAGAAGTAGAATGGCTGTAAGTCTCTAAAATGAGCATTCCTGATGACTTATACAAACATAAACCTTACATCTACTTTTTCTATACCCTCATATTATGCAGTTCATAATTTATATTTATTCAGCAAAGCTTTATAAATAATTTAGATAGGTATATGTAAGTCCAGAGAACATAAGGATAAACTTCCTCATTTTACTCTTTTCATTTCTTTCATACAAAAATTATCATCTATTATTAATATTATTTTATAAGGCATTAAGGACAAAAATAGAGCAAGTATCAGATATGTTGCTTAAAATGATTTATTTCCTATGCTTTTCATAGGCTTTCTTAAGTCTAGAGCATAGTTTTTAAGCTTTCTATTTCACTCTAAGTCTAAATAGTGTCAGATGAAGAAAAATGGTATAAACATGCATATTAAAGTACAAATTTTTGAGACACTTGTTAAAACAAAATTTTAAATATACCTATTTGGATGCTACAAGACAGCAAATGTACAAACTGTGAAGATAAATATAGAACTACAAATTGTATACTACAATACAGAAAACAAACATTCTCTTCATTCCATAGGTATAATTCGTAATAAAAACATTTCCACTTAACATATAAACCACCACATATTGTAAATTTGTATTGTAAATACTTCAGGTTGACTGTATTCTAACAAAAAACAAAACAAAGATACATTATATCTTTTTTAGGGAGCTATTATGAACCCGGTATAATGGTGTATGTTATTGAAATTCATTTATTCAAATATTTATTGAGCTAGTCCTATATGAGATAATGGGAATACATCAACTAACAGTTTCTCGAGGAAGACAAGCAAATAAACATTCAATAGAGTACATCAAGTGTTTCATTAGGGCAATCTCCAGGTTCAATGGGAACATACAAAAAAGAGACCTAATTTTGTGTGTTTGTGTGTGTGTGTGTGTGTGTGTGTGTGTGTGTGTGTACACGGCATAGGAGGTATAGTCTGGGAGAAGATAGAGTATGTGCAGGACAGGGAATCAAAGAACATAATCCATTTTATTCATGGTATCTCATTTAATCCACACTATAGCTCCATAAGGTATATTGTATATGAGGAACCTGAGGCTCATAGACATCAAGTAATTTCTTTAAAAGGAATAAGCTGCTAGTAAGTCTCAGTCAAACATAAAACTAGCCAGTTTTATGTTTTACTCCATAATAATCTTTCCACTATTAAAAGGTTTTTGTAACTGATATTTCTAAGATAAACCTTAAAATACTTTTCATACGGGTCATTTCACTACTGTGACAGCAACAAAGTGTAACTGTAGAATATAAGTGCCAGATATCTGCTATCAGCCACTTCATTCTTGGCACTCTTACCATTGGTAAAGGTAACTCACGTTCAGACTGAGTAAGTCTCATACAATGCATATTACATACACTTTAATTAATATATAGCAAGGCTTTAAGGATAATGTCAGCGTTGGTATTTAATTTCTCTGGAAAGTCCTGGCATTAACTATAAACAATAACTTCTTATAATTTCATTAAAAAGAAGACCTTTTAATTTGGGAAAGCAAACACTGATAAAAATTTTTTTTATTGAGATAATTCATATACCATAAAATTCACCCTTCAATATGTACTATTCAGTAGTTTTTACTATATTCATAAAGTTATGAATTGTACCTGTCTAAATAAAAACATTTTTATCACCCCAAAACCACCTCATATCTATTAGCAGTCACTCCTTATTCTCCTGTGCCCCTAGGCCTGGCAACCACTAATTTACTACCTGTTTATACAGATTTGCTTACTGTGAATACTTCATAAAAATGAAATCATATGTGTCCTTATGATATTTTCAAGGTCTATTCATGCTGCAACATGAATCATTCCTTTTTGTGACTAAATAATATACCATTGCATAGATATACTCATTTTGTTTGTCCACTCAACTATGTAATGGACATCTTATTTGTTTCTACTGTTTAAGCTGTTATGAATAATGCTACTATGAACATTTTTGTTCAGATTTTTGTGTAAATGTTCTTTCATTTCTCTTGACTATATACCTAGGAAAAGAATTGCCATATCATATGAATCTTAAATTAGAACTGCTGTGTATATGAACCTTAAAATATTTTTTCATTGACTCACTATAAAGATACACAATTAGACAATAAGATAACAAATAACCCAATCAACAAATGGGCCAAGGACCTGAACAGACACTTCTCAGAGGAGGACATACAATCAATCAACAAGTACATGAAAAAATGCTCACCATCTCTAGCAGTCAGAGAAATGCAAATCAAAACCACCTAAGATACCATCTCACTCCAGTAAGATTGGCAGCCATTATGAAGTCAAACAACAAGTGCTGGCGAGGATGTGGGGAAAAGGGTACACTTGTACATTGTTGGTGGGACTGCAAATTGGTGCAGCCAATTTGGAAAGCAGTATGGAGATTTCTTGGAAAGCTGGGAATGGAACCACCATTTGACCCAGCTATCACCCTTCTCGGTCTATTCCCTAAAGACCTAATAAGAGCATGCTACAGGGACACTGCTACATTGATGTTCATAGCAGCACAATTCACAATAGCAAGACTGTGGAAGCAACCTAGATGCCCTTCAATAGACGAATGGATAAAAAAAATGTGGCATTTATACACAATGGAGTATTACTCTGCATTAAAAAATGACAAAATCATAGAATTTGGAGGGAAATGGATGGCATTAGTGCAGATTATGCTAAGTGAAGCTAGCCAATCCCTAAAAAACAAATGCCAAATGTCTTCTTTGATATAAGGAGAGTAACTAAGAACAGAGTAGGGACGAAGAGCATGAGAAGAAGATTAACATTAAACAGGGATGAGAGGTGGGAGGGAAAGGGAGAGAGAAGGGAAATTGCATGGAAATGAAAGGAGACCCTCAGGGTTATACAAAATTACATACAAGAGGAAGTGAGGGGAAAGGGAAAAATAATACAAGGGGGAGAAATGAATTACAGTAGAGGGGGTAGAGAGAGAAGAGAGTAGGAGAGGGGAGGGGAGGGGAGGGGGGATAGTAGAGGATAGGAAAGGTAGCAGAATACAACAGACACTAGAATGGCAATATGTAAATCAATGGAAGTGTAACTGGTGTGATTCTGCAACCTGTATACGGGGTAAAAATGGGAGTTCATAACCCACTTGAATCAAAGTGTGAAATATGATATATCAAGAACTATGTAATGTTTTGAACAACCAACAATTAAAAAAAAGAAAAAAAGATACACAATTGTAGAATTCACTGTGATATATTTGTACATGTAGATTACATAATTTGCTCAGTCTAATTCTTGAGTACCTCCTCTCTCTTCCCTCATCCATCCCCGTGATTCCATGCTTTAACTCCCTTCTATTTTCATGAGACCTGCCTTTTTTTTCTCTCTAGCTTTCACATATGAGAAAAAACATATGACCCTTGGATTTCTGAGTCTGGCTCATATCATTTAACATAATGTCTCCAGTTCCATCCATTTTCCTTCAAATGACATAATTTCATTCTTCATGGCAAAGTAAAACTACATTGTGTGTATATACTATTTTCTTTTGATTTTTGCATCTATTAAGATGATCATGTGATTTCTGTCCCTAGTTCTACTTACATGGTGAATTACATTTATTGGTTTGCATATGTTGAATCATTTTTGCAATACTGGAATGAAAACAACTTGGTCATGATGTACAACTTTCTTAGTATGTTTTTAAATGTGATTTGCTAACATTTTATTAAGGACTTTTACACCTATGTTCATCAGGATTATTAGTGTATTTTTAGTTTTATTTACTTGATATATCCTTATCTGCTTTTGCTATCAGTGTGATACTGTCTTCATCAAATAAATTTTAAAGTGTTTCCCCCTTTCTATTTCAAGAAATAATTTGATAACTAATAGTATTAGCTCTCCTTTAAATGTTTGGCAGAATTCAGCAGAGAATAATTTTGTCCTGAGCTTTCTTTGCTGGAAGAATGTATTATGACTGCTTCAATCTCATTGCTTGCTATTGGTCTGTTTTTCTATGTTCTTTGGTTCAATTTTGGTAGGTTATACATGTCTAGAAATGTATCTGTTTCTAGACATGTATAACTTGGAAATGTAAATTTTCAAAAGTTCCCTGTAGTTCACTGATACCTGTGGTGATATCTCCTCTTTCATCTGTGATTTTATTACTTTGGGTCTTTCTTTTAGTCACTTTGGCTAAGGATTAATCCATCTTTTTTATCTTTTCAAAGAATCCTCTTTGTTACATTGTTTCTTTGTAGTGTTTTTAACTCTATTAATTTCAGCTCTCATCTTAATTATTCCCTTCCTCTGATTCATTTTGTTGTTGGTTTGTTCTTGTTTTTCTTGTTATGTGATTTCATAACAAGAGATGAATCATTAAGTTTATTTGGAATCTTTCTTTTTTTTTTTAAATGTAGGTACTCGAAGCTATCGATTTTCTTCCTTAGAACCATCTTCATAGTGTCTCACTTTCTGGTGCGTTATATCTCTATTCTCATTTGATGCTTAAGAATTTTAAAACTTCTCTCCTGATTTATTCTATGATTCATCATTCAAAAGTGTATGTTCAATCTACATGTGTTTCTGTAGTTTGGTTGCGGTTGATTTCTAGTTTCATTCCATTATAATCTGATATGCAAGTACATATATAAATTTTAGCAAACATATGTATTTGCTAAAACTTATTTGGTGACCTAAAATATGTTCTATTTTGGAGAAAGTCCCACGAGTAGCTTAGAAGCAACTGAATTCAGATGCTTTGGATGAAATATTCTATAGAGGTCTGTTAGGTCCATTTGATTTAGAGTACTTTTTAGATCTGAAGTGTCTTTAATATTATGTCTGGGTCACCTCTCTATTGGTGAGAGAAGAGTGTTGCAATCACCCAGTACTACTGTATTGAGGGTCTACTTGAACCTTTGTATTGAGTAGTGTTTCTTTTGAGTAATTAGGTGCACTAAA